TATATACAATACAATATATATATGCACTGAAAAATAAATGCTGTTGATTCAATTAAAGTCTATATTACGGGCTGTCACTAATATAAGTGATTAATTCATGAATATTTTTATTGACATAAAAAGGCATAAATTATTATTTCAATAATCAAGGCTTTTATGTTTTTTTCTCAGGGTTAGAAAATGCAGTACTAAAAAGTTGACAAAGAATTCTGAAAAAATTTTAGGGCTCTGTAAGAAGAAAATGAATAATTTCTTGTTTCTTGCTGTTTTCCTGTAAATTTGATAGTATTTGACTAAAAAATTATTATATAAAACCAATATTCGATGATTTTTAATAATTGATGTTTGTTAATTATTGCAAAAATTTCAAAATGATAGACTAGTTTTTCGACTCAGTTTAGTCCGCTCTACTCCTATGCGAGTTTTATCATTACTCAAGATGGCAATGATACTTTAAAATTCGTTTTTTTCCTAAAAAATAACTCGTTACTGATTTGCAAAAGTAACTCAATATCGTTATTCAAACTATAACGTTACTTTTTCGTTACTTTTTTTTTAATATTAATAGAATATTATATGCAGTGTTATGTCCAAACCTTTGAAAGTTTAAATTTAGGATTCGATTGGAAAGAGAAGGAATGAAAGTGATTATTATGAAAGTGAGGGTATTAGGAAGGACGCTTAGATTCTCGCAGATATTCGCACAGAGATGAGTATCCCGAGTCAAACACACTTTTTGTCGCTTCGGAATATGGGTCAAGTCTCGCCGAGATATAATATCTGTTTTCGATGAGCAGTGCGATCGTATTTATCTACAAAGGATTCCTGATCAACACTTAGATTTGTATTTGCTAAAACCAATCATGTTTAAACAAGATTTTCTTTACATGATTTGTAATTTTATCATAAATTTTGAGATTGTTTGTCTACAAATCGATTGCCTACAATATCGTTTACCACTTTTGCGTACAATTCAATTGCCTGCATATATTATTGCGTGTAGCTCGATTGTCTACAAGTATTTTTGCGCACAAATAAAAATTTTAGAAATAAAATTACATCTTTAAAAAACATTTATGAAGTTGTATATTTAAAAAGAAGGAAAGGATAAAAAGAATTATTTAACCAGATGCAGTATTTCGAAGAAAAGAAACAAGATACGAATGACTCATCATAAATACTCTAAGGGTAAAATTATATTATAATAAAAAAATAATATTCTTTGTAATCTGCATTATAAACATATATTTAACTTGTGAGATATGATACAAAAAAATTTTATTTTAAGAAATTAAATATATTATAATTTATCATATCATTTATATCATATAATCTTTTTTCCACAAGGACATTTATTGACATAGAATTTCATGTGATCTCGTCACCACGTATTATACCTAGAAAGTTAATTTATGTATGTGAACTGAATTACAATGAAAAAAAACGCCGTGATCGCGTGATTTAGACAGCCAATCAGATCGTTAATATTTCATTTCTGTTTTCTAGAGCTATAGTTACAACTAAATTTTTAAGTAGTTGAAAAGAAAGTAACGATAAAAATATTATAACTAGTAAAATTGTTACTGTTATCCCAAAATGTAATTGTGTTACTATAAACATTACTCAAAAGAAGTTTCATAACTATCTGGAAACGATTCTTCTGATGAAATATATTGTAAAAACGAAAATTTAAGAGACACATATTGTTTTATACATGCGCTAACTCATGTTTAAGAAGTGAAACTCTTTGAAAAAAAAACTTTGAAAAAATTTTTCATTTGAAATGAATATCATCAGAAGTTTAAAAGATAAAAAAAAATTATTTAAATAAAAATTGTACAGTTTTATACAACCAAATGTGATGATTCAATAAAATCAAAACGTTATGACAACTGAAAAGAAATAAACAATTGTTAAACTGTAATGAAATCATTCCTTAGTCAATTTAGTTGAAGGACTGGAACATAATTTAAAATTGACATATTTTCAATAAAAACATGATTACACATTTGTAGAATTTGGCTTTTTAATATAGATTTTTAATATTATCTTTAATAATATACTAATATTTCTTATAAAATATAAAAGTAATAAAGTGAAGATATATTCTATTATAATATCAAATTTTGTTTATAACAACGATAATGATCCTATAATTTTTGAAAAAAAGGGAAGAATAATATAAAAATTAACATCAAAATGTTATTATGTAATTTTTTAAATAATTAAGTTCGCGTAATTGTCTGACGCAGTCTGGGAAAGGAAAAAAGTATTCAAAAAAGGACAACTCATTGCTGACCGACGAGACAACGTGACTAACAATGATCGAAGAGAAGGAAGATGACAGTGGGATTTCGATCAAGGTGACACACGTAAATGACACTCTAAATTCGAACTACCATCCCACCTTCAAAAAACCGACAATTCATAAGGCAAGACACAACGAGAGTACCATTATCCGGCATAAATCCCCCCACTCTCTCTCTCTCTCTCTCTCTCTCTCTCTCTCTCTCTCTCTCTCTCTCTCTCTCTCTCCCCTCTCTTGC